TTTTCCAACCCGCTTATTCAGTTCAGTGCCGTGGGTGACTGGACCCTCTCTGCAGCTCAGGACGCCTGGCAAGAACCAACCCTGGACAGGATGCCATCCACTGCAGGGCGACCCCCGCCCCACATCCGCGCAGACTGGGACAACGCGGACACGCCCGTGCATCTCACACGCACGGCTCTGGGAGGAGGGAGGAAGCCAGAGTGTCTGGAGAAAACCCAGGCAGACATGGGGAGAACACACAAACTCCACACAGACAGTGGCCGTAGCTGGGAATCAATTTTTTTTTTCTCGTCAATGTGACAGCAAAAGGACATTGAAGGATGTTATTTGAGGACCTGCTATCCTATAACGGTGGATACACATCGTTCTCCATTTGTCACAACCCACAGAACGTGCAACACCAAGGGTGAACCCTAATGTAAACTATGGACTTGGGCGATAATGACCTGTCAGTGTAGGTTCATCAACGGTAACCAACATACAAGTCTGGTGTGGGGTGTTGGCATGGGGGAGGTGGCGGGCAGAGGTTATCTAGGAACCCTGTGCTTTCTGCTCAGTTTTGCTGTGAACCTAGAACTGCTTTAAAAAGTAAAGTTTATTTTTTCAAAGGAGTTAAGGGCTGTACAACAATATATATCTGAATTCATGATTTTCAGATTTATGTCTTAACCTAATAATGTCAGATTGAGCATTCAAGAACCTACGGTAAAGTCTTAAAAATCTAAAAAGAGCATGAGACTCACAGCCCTGCTAGGCAACTTCTAGTAATCACTGACCCTCCTGCTGCTAGAAAAGCTTAAACGTTGGTTCTCTGAAGCCTTCTTGGTCATTTGATCAATTTAAAAGATTCTTAAGATAAACTCTGCTCCCTGGAGGGGCCCCACAGCTAAAGGTAAAAGTTAGGATAGTTGGATAGCTGTGTTTCTTACCTTTCTTGGGGCACTGCACATCATATGCCACTTTGTTAATGACAAGCTTAAAATCATTCATTAGCAAAATATCCATCAAAGTTGAAGCTGGAATCTCACAGCCATCTGAAAGAAAAAACATAATGCAAAAATATGTCTCTGTTGTCAGAACAGTAAGAACCATTTTCCAACACATAGAAAATCACTAACCCAGTCTTCGCAATACAGTAGTGGACGTTTACTTTTTTGGGGGTCCCCAAACCCAAATACCATTCCCATTGGGGGGAACCCTCTTGTGTTGCTCTGCCTCCCACTTCACTGGACCAGATGGAACGGGCAGGCACTCCCTCTCCTGCTCTCCGTCTGCAGGGCTGGGATCCAGGTGAAGGCCCCTGGCAACACCGTGGCTGCAGAAGGTCATGGAAGAAGATTCAGGAGAGCTGGGAGCTCTTCACAGCGAAGCAGGGAGTGGAGGGGGCAGCGTTAGCAACAGAGCCCATCAGGTGGTCTCTGGGCTAATCTGGTCTCTGCTCACGTTCTCTCCCAGTTCCAGCCCTCTTCCGAGGCTGGCTTCTGTCACTTCCAGTGTGAGAGCCTGTTGACATACTCCTCGGCTTAGGCAGAGTCCATTTCTGCTGCTTACAGCCAAGCCCCTGACTGGTACACGTAGCACACGGGTAGTAACATTCCTAAAAGCCTGCCTTTTGGCCGGGCGCGGTGGCTCA